AGCTCCTCATCTCCTTGGTGGTCTCACTCTTCACGGGCTTTGGAGTCCTCTTCCTGTGCTCTGGGTCGGCATCTATGTGTGAGCACCCAAGGGTAACAACCAGGTGGCTTCACTGAATCCCTGCTTTTGTAAATTACTTTTTTTACTATTGCTGGAAGTGTCCCACCTGCTGCTAATAATAAAGGCAGATGTATGGAAAACAAACAAACAATAGAGCAGCCCTAGTAACCCTTAAGCACATCAGATCAGACTGTGGGTTTGGCTTTTTGGCTCGGTTCCTTACCAATTGTGATCGTTGCCTGGTCACTTACCCTCTCTAGGTGTCTCTCCTCATCTGTAAATCGGGAGGAAGAGAGTCCATTTGACAGAATGGTTTTGGCACTGAAGTGAGATAAAGCTTCGGAAGCACTGAGCGCTATGTGACACATAGAAGTGATCAGTGAATATGTGATGCGGAATGGGGGGACATGGTGATAGTGAAGACTTACTTGGGGCCTAGTTGATCAAGTTACTAGTAGAATCTCATCCATGAACATGGATGATGTTTTGCCCTAATCACCTGTATGCCATAAGATGAGGACTTGGTCCTTGGTCTTTTTAAACATGAAGTCTTTATAAGCAGCAAGAACATTTGTAAAGGATAGCTGCCTGAAATACATACTTTTTGCTTTTCAGTTCCCCCTTTTCACTGACTTTGATTAGCTATTTTTTTCTGTTATCCTTCATGTGAACGCAGTTCCTCTGAACAGTCACAAAGCATCTATAGTATAGGATAGAGGTATTCACTGCAGGTCTTTTTTTCTTCAATATTCCTGTAGGAGGTGATTTTCCCTGCTGTGTACTATATCATCTGAAAATAAACAATCTGCCTAGCCGGTCCCCCTATTTCTGCTCTGAATATAAATCAGATTGTTTCTCTCTCCTCCTCAAAAACCATCTAGTGCTCCATGACTCAGAAATTCCATATATATCCAATAGAATTGAAAGCAGGGACTCAGTTATATCCCAATGTTCATACCAGCATTATTCATAAATAACCCAAAGGTGGAAGCACCTGAAATATCTATCAACAGACAAATGGACAAACAAAATGTGGTATGTAGCAGAATGGAATTGTATTCAGCCACAGAAAGACATGAAGTTCTGACACATGCTACAACATAGGTAAACCTTGAGAACATCGTGTGAAGCAAATAAGCCAGACCAAAAAAATGCAAATACTGCATGATCCCACTTAGGTGAAATATTGAGAATAGACAAATTCATAGAGACAAAGTACGTTAGAACTTATCAGGGGCTGGGTTGGAGATGGACAGTTCCTTCTTAAGGTTACAGAGTTTCTGTGCGGGGTGATAACATTTTGGAAATAGTGGTAATGGTTGCACAACGTGGTAAATATAATTAATTCCATTGAATTCTGTACTTAAAAATTGTCCAGATAGTAAATATTATGATATATATATGTACCATAAAAGTTTTCATAAAAATCGTCTAAGGTTTCCCAGCATGTTCAGCGTGAAAGCTAAAGACCTTACAACAGCCTCAAGACCCCATGCCTTGACTTCTCTCCCCTCGAGAACACTGGCCTCCATGCTGCTCACTGAACGTTAGCACACGAGGTCTGCTCCCTCAGGTGGGGCAGATGGGTGGGGAAGATGGGTGGGGAATGCCTCAGGAATTGAGATGGTAGAGGAGAAGAGCTAATGGAGAAGAGGGAGGTTAGTGACGGGCTCATCTAAGAAAAGAAAGAGGTTCTTAGGGAGACTGCTTGGAAAGTTAGTGTTGGCAGAAGCCCACCCACAGCTCTTGAGCCCCTCATCCTGGGCCACTTTTTCTACCTTTGACCAACTCTTCCCCAACCCCCATCTCTATCCCAAATCCTTCTAGAGCTTCTAACTTACATCACATCAGCCATGATGGGGACTTGGGATGGGCACTTACCTGCAGTCATTTCTCTAGTCTGGGTGCTGTAACTAGGAGTGGCGTTGGTTTGGCTGCAGTGCACAGCTTCCACCTTACCAGGCTGTGCCCTACCATCTCCGAAAGTGGCTATGTTAATTTCTGCCGTTCCCAGCAGCAGTGTCAAAGAGCTCTGGATTCCCCACATTGTCACCCATACTTGATATTGTTCAGTTTTTTTACTTTTTCCAACCTGGTGTATGTAAGTTGGTGTTTTTGTATTTTTTTTTCTTCTCTTTTGAGACAGTCTTGCTCTGTTGCCAGGCACTAAGCTGGAGTGCTAGTGGTGCAATCTCGGCTCACTGTAACCTCTACCTCCCTGGTTTAAGCAAATCTCTTGCCTCAGCCTCCCAAGTAGCTGGGACTACAGGCACGTGCCACCACGCCCAGCTAATTTTTGTATTTTTTAGTAGAGACAGGGTTTCACCGTGTTGGCCAGGATGGTCTTAATCTCATGTCCTTGTGATCCACCTGCCTCGGCCTCCCAAAGTGCTGGGATTACAGGCGTGAGCCACCATGCCTGGCCAGTATTTTTGTATTTTTAACTCATTTCTCCAATTACAAATGAGGCTGACCATTTTTGAAATATGTATTTATTGGTGTACTATACACACACACAAACATATATATATGTGTGTGTGTGTGTGTGTGTGTGTATATATATATATATATATATTCAGATTTTCTCTTCAGTGAAGAATCTGTATAAGCTTTTTGCCCATTTTCTTCTATTGTATGATACCTTTTCATTGATTTTTAGGATTTCTTTTTTTCTTTTCTTTTGAGTCAGGGTCTTGCACTATTGCCCAGGCTGGAGTACAGTGGCGTGATCGTTAGCCCACTGCAGCCTTGAAATCCTGGCCTTAGGTGATCCTTCTGCCTCAGCCTCCCAAGTACCTGGGACTACAACCTTGCACCACCATGCTCAGCTAAGTTTTTTAAAATTTATTTTTATTGTATTTATTTATTTTTGAGATGGAGTATCACTCCGTTGCCCAGGCTGGAGTGCAGTGGCACGATCTCGGCTCACTGCAACCTCTGCCTCCAGGTTCAAGCAGTTCTTCTGCCTTAGCCTCCCCAGTAGCTGGGACTACAGGCACCCACCACCATGCCTGGCTGATTTTTATATTTTTAGTAGGGACAGGGTTTTGCCATGTTGCCCAGGCTGGTTTCGAACTCCTGACCTCAAGTGATCCACCCATCTCAGCCTCCCAAAGTGCTGGGATTGTAGGCATGTCCAGCTATTTTTGTAGAGATGGGAACTCGCTATGTTACCCAGGTTGGTCTCAAACTCCTCACCTCCAGCCATTCTGCTACTTTGGCCTCCTGAAGTGCTGGGACCACAGGCAAGAGCCACTGTGCCCAGTTGTGATTTCTTTATGTAGTCCAGAGTAAACTATATGTGAAGCAAGTATCTCTTCCCAGTTTGCAGCTTGTCTTAACCTTTCTAGTGCTTTTGTTTAGAACTTGGTGTATTTTTGTGGTTTAAGAAGTATGTCCTCCCTACCTTGTGGTTAGAAAGGTTTTCCTCCCATATTGTCCTAAAATTTTTCTAGTTTTTCCTTTGCTTGGTAAATATTTAATATACCTGAAATTGATTTTTAAACATGGTAGGTAGGGGTTACATTTCATTGTTTTATGTGTGTTTAACCACTTGTTCCAGAACACTTTATTGAAAGTCCATCTTTCCTATTGGTCTTTAATGCCTTTGTTATGAATCAAACTTCTACATGTGTGTGAACTGGTGTCCAGCCCTCTACTTGGCAGCTTTTTGTATTAGTTATCTGTTGCTGTGTAACAAATTACATAAAACTTCGCCGCTTAAAACAGCAAGCATGTATTACCTCACAGTTTCTGTGGGTCAGAAATCCAGGTGCGGCTTCTCTGGGTGCCTGTGGTGCAGTGCTGTCCTTCAGCAGCAGTCAGGATGGCAGCCGGGGATGTGGTCTCAACTGAAGACCCAAACAGAGAGGATCTGCTTCTAAGCTCACTTATGTGGTGAGGGCAGAATTCAGTTTCTCATGGGTTGCTGCATGAAGGTCTTAATCCTTGGCTGGCTGTTGGTCAGAGGCTTCCCCCATTCTTTCTCCTGTGGGCTTCTGTATAGGGCAGCCTACAGCATGACAGCTGGCTCCCCTCAGAGTGAGCAAGCAAGCCGAGAGAGAGAGATGGAAGCTACAGTACATTGTAACCTAATTTTAGAATTGACATCCATGATTTATGCTGAGCATTAGAAGCAAGTGAGTACATTCAGACCGCAGTCAAGGGGAAGGTATTCCATAAGGGTGTGAATACCAGGAGGCGAGGACCGCTGGGGATTATCTTCAGGGCTGCCTACCATACTTTTATATAACCTAAGTAATTAAGTCTTGTAATATTAATCTCTTCCTAGGTATTTTAAGTGACTTTCCATAGGATCATTATTTTTTACTTTTAAAAACTATATTCAAAATAGAAAGAATGGGCATGTCTTGGAACAGATTTTTGGAAGAAGGCATAATGGAACTTTGGGAGTGATAGGAAAATATATGGAGATGTGATCTTTCTTCAGATGGTTGGGTTCAGTTTAGTTAATTATAGCAAGTACAGTCATGCTCGGTATCTGTGGGGGATTGGTTCCAGGACCCCCATGGATACCAAAATTCATGGATGCTTAAGTTACTTATATAAAATGACATCATTTTGCATATAAAATATATGCACTTTCCTATATGTTATATTATCTCTAGATGACTTTTGATATCTAATATAATGCCTGTACATCACTTCATATGCATAGATTCAAGGTAATATTCAGCATGTGGTGAATTCAAGTTTTGCTTTTGAGAAGTTTGTGGAATTTTTCCCCCTGAGTGTTTTCTGTTTGTGGTGAGCTGAACTTATGAATGTGGAACCCACAGATAAGGAGGACCAACTGCATATACCATGTAATTTTCTCTGACTAGTTTATCTGCATTTTCCCAGTGCCAAAACTATCATGGTGATAGGTAGGAAACATTTCACGTATTAGCTTATCATTTATGAGATTGTTTGAGACAGAGTAAAGCACGTGCCATTTCCTTTATTTGTTTTATGCAGTTCATAGAGCTCAGTGATGCTAACTCCGTATTTCCAGTGTCATTTAAAATGATACTTAGAACAGGATGAGAAGGTTGTATTGTCACAACAGCTAACATCACACGTGACTCCTTTTTCATTTAAAATACAAACCAAATGTCTGCCAACATGCTTTCATGGGTACCTAGTCGGAAGGAAACCCTTAGAACAATTATTCTGAGCTGAATTGATGACTTAAAGATGACATTTAATACACCCAGTTGTTACAATCATCAGCATTCGAGCTCAGTGCTTCCTGTGGGCACTCCCTGGAATGAGAAAGGTTTTGCGTGTGGTTTGAGAGATTATGGAAAGGTCCCCATCATCAGTAAAGCGTCTTGACCCAACTCACTTTTTCTTTCTTCAGCTTTGCCACACCTGTGGGCAGCTTCTGTGCATACCTATGCTTATCTTCAGCCGCCAATTAGGAATAGATGCACGGACATTTCTACTGCTGTCGTGAATGCTGTCATTACAGACTTCATTGTTCTAAGTGCGCCTCTTGGTTCCTTTTCTATGTCAGAGCTTGTGTGTCTGTGCGCACAAGCACGTGTACTTTTTCGTCTATCTTAGGCTGATTTTTAGTTAGCAGAAGAGACTTACATGACAAGTTCTAGAGTAACTTCCAAACTTTGACTCAGTATGTAACTTGGGTTTTCCTTGTGTGTAGTTACTAAAAGAACCTTCTCGGTGTACCTCTCTTTGGAGAACAAAATTTGAACAACAACAAGGAAGGAGTAGACACATCTCCAGCTAAGGTGCCGGATTCTGATAGCGTACCTTCTCGGCAGAGCTTACTTTGTGGAACTGGAGAAGTTATGTATAGACAAATGACTGTGCACCACTGTTGGCAAAGGTTTCTATACTGTGTTATGAATTCTAGATCTGTTTCTTCTGCCCTACACGCTCCCCTTATTTTGGTAAATGTAACAAGCCAAAAATTAGGAAAGTATTCTAAGCTCATTGGAATGAATATTTGGTACTATGCTAAAGATGCAGGTATTCAGATAGAAGCCCGCAGCTGGAATGTAGAGACGGCATTACAAAGCCTGAGGGGCAACCTTTGCTTATTCCTTAGCACGAAGGATGGATGCAGCCTTAGGAGGTTAAATTGTATTGGAGAGATTAAATTGTAATTGTGGGCCAGGAACGGTGGCTCACGCCTGTATTCTCAGCACTTTGGGAGGCTGAGGCAGGTGGATCTCTTGAAGTCAAGAGTTCAAGACCAGCCCAGCCAACATGGTAAAAATCCATCTCTACTAAAAATACAAAAGTTAGCTGGGCATGGTGGCGCATACCTGTAATCCTAGCTACTCAGGAGGCTGAAGCAGGTGAATCATTTGAACTCAGGAGGTGGAGGTTGCAGTGAGCTGAGATCAAGCCACTGCACTCCAGCCTGAGCAAGAGAGTGAGACTCCATCTCAAAAAGTAAAAATAAAATGTAATTGTGTAGAGATAGCCTATAATTTTGTATTCAAAATGAGAATTTTTTTTTTTTTTTGAGACAAGGTCTTTCTCTGTCACCCAGGCTGGAGTACAGTGGTGCGTTCGTAGCTCACTGCAGCCTTGACCTCCTGGGCTCAAGTGATCCTCCTACTTCAGCCTCCTTAGTAGCTGGGACTACAAGTGCATGCCACAATGCCCAGCTGATATTTGTATTTTTTTGTAGATGGGGGTTCTGCCATGTTGCCCGGGTTACATAGAAGTCCTAGGCTCCAGCAATCCACCCTCCTTGGCCTCCCAAAATGCTGGGATTACAGGTGTGAGCCACCATGCCCAGCCAGTGTGGAGATTCTTTCCTGATAGTAAACTGGACTGCATAAAGGATGCTTTCAGATTATTTCCTCACCCTGGTCACATCTCTGGTTTCAGTAGATTTTCTACAGAGCCCATATGTTCAAGGCTTGGTGTGGGGGTAGGGGGGAAGCCTGCTCTAAACTCTGATTTATCTTGAGATATGAGCTATCAAAGAATTTTTTCTTCATCCCCGTTAGATTGCACTTCAAGCTCTAACAGTGCCTCTGAGCCATGAGAAAAATTTACACATAAGAAATGTTTTGAAGCCATTAAAAGAAGTTCAGAGCTTAAGAGCTGGTTTCACATCTCTTGAATCAGATGAAATGTGCGCTTACAGAGAGTAATAATTAGGTGATGGGCAGATGCCAAGCTCTGGGTTTTGACATGATTATCTCTTTCATTTGGCACAGTTCAAGTGTGCGGGTTGGGCGTTCTGAAAGAGAGGGATCACTGAGATGGCGCAGGGGCATATCACATCTGTGCCTTTGGTGGACGTCAAGGCAGAATTATTCAGAATAGAATCTGAAATGCATTTGATCCTACAGTAGATAGTTTAATAATTTATGTTCATCCTTATCAGCAAAGCCTTGTGTTTACACTGCTATCACCAAAATAAGATTTAAGAAACCCCGTCCGTGATATTAAGATTAGAGAGTTTGCGTGTATGTGTGTGTTCAAGTTTAACATTTTTCTTCATAATTGTAATGACCTGATAGCAATTACACATTTGGGGTGAAAGGGCCAAGGCAAAAATGTCATATGAACAATGTCTGATGTAGAATCTCCCAGAAGTGAAACAGAAAGGCTGACAGTACTGTGCTCTAATTGTGTGACTGTGTGACAGAGGTCTCACAATGTAAATGTTCTTCCAGAAGAAATGGAAAGGAACGGTTAATTCCAACTTGAATGTGTTGATCCTGTTCCATGCCATGGTGCCTATAATGCCGACGGACTACACACACCCCATTATTTTCACTGACTTCAAGATAAAATGCTAAAACATTTTTGGTTTGGAGATAACTGGGTACGCCTACGTATATGATATTAAAGAGCTCCCAATTTGGGGAACGTCTAGAAGAGTAACGGAGAAAGGTAGCTTGGCCCCGTCACTCCCCTGTATGTCCCGGTATCTGGTAGTAACATGAAGCGCAGGGACAGGGTTGTCTTGTCAGTTTGAGGAGGGGCGCTGGCAACACTCGCGGGTGTCAGGACAGAAGAATTCATTTAGAAGCTGCGCCACAAGATGGGAAGACAGGTGGCAGCTCTCTTACAGGGATCTCTTTTATTTGAGCAGAACCAGACCAACTGTTCCTCGTTAAAACACATTCTGCAACGTGCTCTAATGTGAGCGCATCAAGTGCGTACGCATGTGTGTGTTCGGAGCATACTCAGAGATGTGCCACCTACGGGTCACAGTTAAAGTCTCCACGTGGCTTAGAACTGCAAGACGGGTAACGTGAAATGTCTCTGCACAACTCGAGGCCAGCTTTTCTGGAATGGCCTCTGTAGGGAAACTCAAAATAACCCCACTGCGCCTGTGAGATGCGGTGGCAAGTCAAGTGGACATAATGTATTGGGTGGGACTGTTGATCTTGATCGTCATTTTAATAACTATGCAGAAAATCCTTGCTTTTTCTCATGTATTTATATGGAATTATCAGTGTATGTCAGCAGTGTTGCTGCGGGGCTGTCCTTGGTATGACTAAAGCCAGGCCTCTCATCTGCTTCGCTATTTCTACTTCCTATCAGAAATGTGGGCCAGTGATTTAAAGAGAGGGTTCACTCATTAGCTACGTCACCGAGTACTTTGAAGGGTTAGAGAGAATGCGTAGAGCACTTAGAGTCCTACTAGGCGGGCAGTGAACGTTCTCTCAATATTTCTGCTTAGGATTTTCACATAGAGCCTATCCTCTGCCTTTGTCACCGAATCCTTGTGCTTCTCGTTCTCCAACCATGTGCCATCTTACAGCTTATCAATATTTCATATGAGAAGGAAGAGGACTTGGAAGAAAGGCCTGTAAACAACATGACTTCCTTCCATTGGGAGCCCAAGCCCATCCAGCTCCCAAGAAAGGAATCCTTGTAACTAGATGAAGAAATAACTATAGGATGCAAAGGAATAAGCAGAAACGCAGACACCAATTCAGAAAATGTGAATCAATCATCATTTAGGTGCCCTTTCCTCAGTCTTGTCTCTTGGGGCTGAAAGACCGGTGAGTCAGACACATCTGGAGGCCCATTTCCTCCCCATTTTCCTAGCAGGCAGTTAGCTCGGCAGAAGGAAGAGGCCTTAGCAGAGGCTGAGCTTTGGAGTTTCCTGTCCTCTTCCCCAGGAACTTCAGCCAGCCACACAGTCGTCTCAAGGTGCCCCGTCCCTCTTTCCTTGTAAACGTGTAGAGCGTCACGCTTCTGTCGGGTGTTCTCTTAGGCAGCTCGTGCAGCTCTACTTGAACGGAGCACACTTTCTGGTGGGATGCAAGCTTCGGGGCTCACATATGTCAGGAGAGGTCGGCACCGTCATGTCCTCCACACAGAGATGTCGGTATCCTTATCACCTGGCAAAAGGAGTTTTGCAGATGAGAGGATTATTATGGATTATCTAAGTGGGTTCAGTGTAAATCACAAGGGTTTTTATAAAAATAACCCTATGATCACTTGAGGTCAAGAGTTTGAGACCAGCCTGACCAATATGGTGAAACCCCATCTCTACTAAAAATAAAATTAGCCAGGCATGGCAGCATGCGCCTGTAGTCCCAGCTACCCAGGAGAATTGCTTGAACCCAGGAGGCGGAGGTTGCTAGAGAGCCGAGATCGTGCCACTACACTCCAGCCTGGGTGACAGAGTGAGACTCCATCTCCAAAAATGATAACCCAAAGCTACTGGCTTTGAAAATGGAAAAAAGGGCCACAGGCCAAGAGATGTAGGCAAATTGTAGACACTGGAAAGAGCAAGGAATTAGAAGAAGGCTGCCCAGCCAAGACCTTGACATAGAACTTCTGACTTCTTAAGATATCATGGAATAAGGTCTTTCTATTGAAAGAGAATGGATGCATACTGCTTAATAGCCTAGGTTTATGGCGATTTGTTCAAATAGCAATAGAGAACTCATGGAACATGCTGCTTCTCTGCTGGTAAGGTTTTTCCCTCGTAACCCTGTGTCATGTTTATGCTATGTAGTGTTGGTGATGTATGACTTTTTGTCCCATTTACTTGCCAGTCTAGTAAGAAGTATAAGAATAGGTAAGTGGCAATCCATAATGGAAGGGGTATTTGCTCCTGTATAAAATGTGACTATATGATACTAAGTAACAGGTAGCAGTGGCAGTATGCATTCAGCCAACACTGGCCCCTCCTAGGGGCCAGGCCCACGGCATCCATTGGGGAGAAAGGCCACCTCTGCTCAGAAGGAGCACACCCAGGGTGGCACAGGAGCCATAGGGTGCTCACCGCTGTTAACGGGAGCTGGGAGGCAGCCGGCTGACAGGACGAGCAGGCCCACGCCGGGTGGGCAGTGGGTGACAGAGATTTCCCTAAAGCAGGTCCTGTCTTAGTTGAGACCTGAGCAAACAGTAACTAGAGGAGGCAGGGGTGGGTGATGGTTTTAGCTTGGAGCTTTTCCAGAAGGCGCACACCACAGGCTTTACCACCTCAGAGCCCGGGGAGTAAGAGGTGCTGACTACACAGTGGACGTAGCTTCTGCCTCATGGGTTAGCGTTTGTGAGGATATTGGAGACAGGACATTGTCGTCTCAGGACTGCTAGTAAGTGCTGTGGGCGGCTCTGGCCTTGCCTGGGTTTCAGGCCACACCCCTGTGATACACCTTACTAGCAGCCCTTATTTGTGAACTTTCTGTATTCCAGGCACGCTGCCTGGCTCTGGGCACATCCTGTCCCTTTCGATAACATCTGAAAGTCGTGGCTTTCCTCCTTCACAGAAGGGCAGCCAGGCTTAGGAAGTTTGAACCAGTGGCCTAAGCTGGCTGGCTGAACCTGGGTTCCGTTTCTGGTATGCCAGAATTCAAAACTCATGCTCATTCGTGCACCTGTGTGCCTGTTGATGGTATACATAAGGAACAAAAACAGCACAGGTCAATTCTACTTGAGAAGCAAATAATGACTCTGTAATTTTTAGAAAGAATTTGAGGACGTTTGCATTTTTGCATAAGATATCATGGAATAAGTTTATTTTCAGGACACGTAATCTGCATATATCTAATTTAATCCTCATAACAACCCCTATGGTGCACAGATACTAGCAGTATCTCCATTTTACAGGTGAGGAAAAGGAGGCAAAAAGGGTAAAATTTGCCTGAGGATCCTCAGATGGAGCTGGGATTAGAGCCCAAAGCTCGAGGACTGACTGCTTCTAGAACCGGTCCCATCTGTGCCTTGTGGCGTGAAACATGCTCAAGTTAAAAGCATCTCCTTCCTTTTCCCAACAATACGTGGGTAACTGCTAGAGATGAAGGAAATTATGAGATAAGCTGTTGTTACCCGAACTGTCTGTATTGAACGGGTGGAAATCTGATCCCTAGTTTCTGAACGGGAAAGTGCTGTTTAATTTCGGTATTGCTTTAACAGATTGATTAATTTTCAAAAGTGTAGCTTAAGAGTTAGGAACTCAGTAGGTTTAGAAATTAATCAGGGGAGCAGTGAGATTTACAAGGAGGACAAACCCATGTTAATCAAAGTTAACACAGAATGCATGATGGGAGTTTCAGTCCCTTAGTCTATTACAGCAGGATAAATACATGGCTCCTTTTGAGTAGCAAAGGTCATATCCCACCTTCTTTCAAATTTCTGTTTTGAGAAAAGCGTTTCTAAGTAGAATTTGAGTTCTTAAAAATTGAGTTGGCGTACATTTGTTTTAAAAAGCAATAACATTTTTCAAATTTGGTGTATGATACTTTTAGAGATGCATATGCATATTGAATTTCAGGAACTAGCAATCTCGATAAGGTTTCGAAGCTGTAGGGAAGGTCTGAGCCTCTGTTTACTTTCTAGAACTATGCTTGTCACATGTGTGTGGACTTTTCCATCAGCTGTTTATAATCACTTCTCCTATAAGCACTTTTTATTTTCTATTCACAATCCCTGCTTTCAACTGCTACCTTGTACATTTACATGTTGGAGCAACACTTCGTATTTCCCACATTTCTAAGCTAGTTTTTCTTAAGTATCTCAGTGGTAGTGGCAATTGAAATGTACAAAGTTAGGTGGTTACTGATTATTCTGTCATATGAGGAACTTTTTAAATATCATATTTAAAAATAGTATCAAAATCCTTTCATCAAGATCTTGATTTGGTAAAAGGTGAGAAGAATGAAAGGGCGAGGTGCAGTAGACACAGGCTGCATGTACCCGCTCCTGCCCCGCTGTCACGCTCCTGCCTTAAAGAGAGTGGCAAGTCTGTGAGCGTCTGTACATGCACGCATCCTACCTGCTGCTCTGCTGGGTTGTCCAGCAGGCTCAGGAGGGAGGCTCAGCACCAAAACACCTTTTCTGAATCAATGTTCAAATGTGTTAAACGTTTGAGGGGTGGAAAGAAGTGAATGCCCAAGGAAGAGTGACTGAATTGAACATGCCCACAAATAATCCACTCTGATTAATAGGCAAGAAATTTTCTGAAATTGTCATCAAAAGTCGAAGGATTGTTGCCTTTTTTTAAACCCAGGCCAAGACGGCACAGTATCTGCACTGCTTCATGAAACAAAATCCAACCTGTGTTATAAACCAACTAAATGCTTAAGGCTTTTGAGACTCACCTAGTCCTTCCCCAGGTCAGCCTGACACCTGGCCTGGCACCGCTAATCACAGCACAGGTGTGGAACCAAGGTCAAGCATTCCCAACTGGGGATAGGGAGAAGGGTGGATTTTCCCCGAAGCTCATGTAGCCAGTCTCAGGGTCTTTCACTCTGAGGGGCCCTTTCTAAAACCCTGGACCTAATTTTGTATTCATTACATTTTTCTTAAAGAGAAGGCTTCAGAACCCACAAAATCTGGGTCCACTCCTGGGTGAGAGTATCTGTGAACCTCCTGATGACTGTGTGGATATGTAAATATACTTCCATATTTTTCTGGAAGGGTTTGTAGTCTTCTCAAAGCCATCTGTGACTTAGAAAGGTTAAAGAACTCAGGCCACGGAGCAATTAATCAACCTCTTAATTCTAATCTTATGAAACCAAACTTAGTAAGTGATGGTTTAATTAGTAGAGGCCATAATTTGTGACTCAAGTAGAATAGCTTCCTGAATGTATCACAGGACACACTGCTCACCAGAGACATAGATGGGAACGTTCTTGATGGTTGCCCACTCTCAGTCACTCATTCATTCATTCCTAAACACTTAACTGAGTACCTGCTCTGTGTCTGCAGCCTGGTAGGCTCCAGTATTTGAGACATGAATTAGACAGACTCACCCCTTTTGAGAATTCACGTAGTTCCTATCAATTCAGTTGAAGGAGGTCTGCATTCTTTCTCAAGTTTCCCACGTGTCAGTGCTGTCCTTGAGATCTTGAGGCTGTTATTAATTGAAATAGAAGCTCTTCAGCGTACACCTTGCTCCAAAATATTACACGGAAAGCCAACCTCGTAACAGAGCTGTGACCTTGGGGCAGGGGCAGGTCTGGGTGCACCACTGAGCCCCGGCTCCTGCTGCCATGGGGAGAGTGGCCCTGTTCTGTCCAGCTGCACGTGTCCTTAAGAAGGACTCCGAGTGCAGGGAGACCAGCAGGGTATCGACCAGATACCTGAGGAGTGTAGCAGTAAATAATGCTTCCACTGTATTGGAGTTGAGAGACTTATCCTTCTGGCTAACAGCTTTATTAACTGCTGTTTGTTAGTCTCCGACAGACAGAGCAAGAATTCTTCCCACACAATCACATGTAAATATGAACCCGTGGAATACTATTCTTTGTGTCTCTCCTTACCCACTCCTTTGCATTCAAATCCTATTAATTCTACATCAAAAGTCTGTTGTTCCCTCTGCTGTCATCCTCATAGAGGTCCTCATTCTCTCCCATTTCATCTGCTGCTACAGTACTTACCACTGGATTTCCTACCCCATTCTCCTGCCTCCCTTCAATCCACCCCACACATTCCTGTTCGTGTTACCTTCTGCAAAGCACCATTCCAGTGCCTCTCCTGTGCAGGGTGAGATTCAGCTTCCCAAACAGAAACCAAGGAGGTAGCAGGGGATTGTTAGAGAGCGTGGAAGGGAAGCCTGAGCAAAGTACCATTGTTCTTCCAAGACACTGGGCACTTCTGCAGATTTCCTGTCCTGTCCTACTCCACCTCTGGGTATCCCTCCGCCCTCCCCATTGTTCCTTCCATCCACGTTTCTCATCTCCCGCTTCCACACCCCTACTTCCATCTCTCATAATGTTATTCCAGTTTCAACAGAGGAGTCCCATATTATTAAGAGAGGCACTGATTCTGAAGCAGGTACACAAGGTAAAAATCTCATAAGTTGCGCTTTGAAACTCTAGAGCCAACCTGAGAATAGCCAGGTGCTCCTCTCTCCACTCCCCTGGACACCAGCTAAGAAGCCCCTGAACAGAGACCACTGAAAGAAAGCACAGTCAGGTCTTCAGCTTCTCAAACCCTGCCCAAGCAGGGTTTCCCAGCCTGCTCTGTGTCCGGCGTGAAAAGAAAATGATAGTATTTGTTGGGCACACAAGGCACTTCGAGGGGACCGAGTGTGGGGTCATTTGGGGGGGTTCCTCTTGGTGCAACCATCCTGTGACAGAGGACCAGCTAGGAGTCTTTGTCCTAGGGATGTTTGCTAAATCAGGTGGCTTCCACTTGATGGCTGGTTGCTTGTTTTTGAGACAGGGTCTCACTCTGTCACCCAGGCTGGCCTGCAGCCTTCACCTTCCAGGTTCAAGTGATTCTCCTGCCTCAGCCTCCAGAGTAGTAGGGATTACAGGCACCCGCGACCACACTCAGCTAATTTCTGTATTTTTAGTAGAGACGGGGTTTCACCATGTTGACCAGGCTGGTCTCAAACTTCTGACCTCAAGTGATCAGCCTGCCTTGGAAGCGGGAGATGAGAAACGTGGATGGAAGGAACAATGGGGAGGGCGGAGGGATACCCAGAGGTGGAGCAGGACAGGAAATCTGCAGAAGTGCCAAGTGTCTTGGAACAACAATGGTACTTTGCTCAGGCTTCCCTTCCACGCTCTCTAACAATCCCCTGCTACCTCCTTGGTTTCTGTTTGGGAAGCTGCACTTCTGACCTCAAGTGATCAGCCTCCCGCAAAGTGCTGGGATTACAGGCGTGAGCCACTGCGCCCAGCCCATGGTGTTTCAGTCTCATTCTTCCATTGCATGGTTGCATCTCTCTAAGTGTCAAATATGCCTATGGTATGACTCCACTTTACAGATTCTACCCTTCATGAATTCTGCCTTGATTTTCTATCAACATGGCCTGTCTTTCTCATACGGTTTATGTGTAGTCTAGAGACTTAGGAACTTGGCCTGGCCCTTCAAGGAAAGGAAGTGACTCATTCATGCCTACCTTGGGCCCACCCGGCTTGTGGTGGGTGTCCGCACGCGCCTCTGTTGAAGGAGAACTTTAGAGGCAGCCCTTCTGGAACCCTTTACTTGATTGATGTCACAACAGGGCTTTCTCTGCATCCTGAAAGTAACTCTTTCCTCTGTTTCTGCATCACAGGAGTTCAGAAACGGGCTTGGGAACCACGGGAGTCCAGGATCCCACACCCCTGCTGCCTCTCAGCACGACTCAGCGAGTTCCAGAATGGCGCTGCGCATGCCCAGGCGACATCAAGACTGGGCGCCGAGGACGGCCGTGGGTTTGGCTCTGCTGGCTCTTCTTTTGGCTTTTTTTGTCAAGGTCTATAATTTAGAATACAACTAAATGAAGCATCTGTAAAGAATACGTTTCTAATTAAAATCTTCAGCGAAGAGGAAAGCGACACCCCCATTCTCAAAGGGCAGTGATTCGTACTGGTCACACTGCCTCCTCTTCGGCCGTTCTTAATGAGGCTCCTCCTGTCTCACATTGAGTTGGACATATTGGTTATCTGACCTAAAACCTAATCACAGCTACCATAGTATATCCTTAAAATTAAACTGCTTTTCGTTTACTTTTAGCAAGAAATGCAAGTGGTTGCATGTCTTTTTTTTTCTGTATCCAATCTTTAAGTCAGCAACTAATTCTACAGTGACTCTGGCCATCTTTTCCTCATGTGGAAGAATTTTCTATCTTTAATACACTTTTTCTTTTTTTTTTGAAGCAGAGTTTCGCTCTTGTCACCCAGGCTGGAGTGCAGTGGGACAATCTTGGGTCACTGCAACCTCTGCCCCCTGAGTTCAAATGATTCTTCTGCCTCAACCTCCCGCATAGGTGGGATTATAAGCATGTGCTGCCAAGCCTGGCTAATCTTTTGTACTTTTAGTAGAGACAGAGTTTCGCCATGTTGGCCAGGCTAGTGTCGAACTTCTGACCACAAGTGATCCGCCCGCCTCGGCCTCCCAAAGTGCTGGGATTATAGGTGTGAACCACCGCCCCCAGACTCTTTCATAAACTCTTTTAAGTGCATCTTCCCCTTAGGCTTTGCTTGGAGTCCCAGTGCTACAAACGTTTTATTTTTCACAACAGATGTGTTCCTGAAAAGTGTGTATAGAAACCTGTTCTGGGAACTTGACTGCTTTTAGAATGCACATGAAAAACGGTTTGTCTAAAATAAATTGTGCCCATTTTCTCACATTTTTGATCCATTAGTTTTTTGAGTCAGGGTGTCACTCTTGTCACCCAGGCTGGAGTACAGTGGCACTATCTTGACTCAATGCAGCCTCCACCTCCTGGGCTCAAGCAGTCCTCCTGCCTCAGTATCCCTAACAGCCAGGACTACAGGCACATACCACTATGCCCAACTAATTTTTTAAATTTTTGTAGAGGTGAGTGTCACTATGTTGCCCAGACTTGTCTGGAACGCCTAGCCTCAAGCAGTCCTCTCGCCTCAGCCTCCCTAACTGCTGGGATTACAGGCATGAGCCACTCCACGCAGCCCAGATTAAATGTTTTCATTTCTACCTGCCATCATTGGTCTTCACTAAGTGAAGTGACTTCTTCATCAATAAATGGGACTGGTACACTAAGCAAATTCTATGTTGATCAGAATTGATTAGGATTGCATAGGTACAGGAAAACCAGGTTCCTTGTAGTGACCATACGGTATTTTCCGTCTTGAAACCCATGACCCTCTTCAACTCTTTCATTTAACTCAAAATGTTTGTGTTTTTTATGTCTTTTAAGGAACCGAAATTAAAAGTCAGGTGTGTCCCAGTTGGTAAATTCTCGCATACATATGCTTTTAGCGTTAGTACATTTCTCCTGGAACTGGTATGTGCTTCTAAGAGGTGTTCATGTGTAGATTGCAAAGATCCACCTGTGCCCCTTCTGGTCCTGCAGTGAACATCCACCTGGGAGCACCCCTCACTTCTCAGCAGGAACGGGGAGAAGAGGACAAGAACGTGCCATGTGCTCCCTTCATTAGCTCTATGCAGTCATTTCTTTGTTAATAAACAGTGAGTACCAGTGTGGTACTCATTTAACACGAACCTAGCAGAGACAGAAATGCCATCCAAAGCCTGGAGTCGCACTAGATCAGACAGAGAAAGCGCGACACCTGTAACTGACTGGAGACAAAAAGGATTTTGCTACCTCCCTGTTCTGACTCTTCCGTACTCTTTTCCTCTCATTCTCTCATCTATCTATTTCCTACCTCCTAGCTCTATGCTCCCTCTCCTTCCTTCATTTTTTTCTTCTTATAAGAGAAAACACCCAGTCATCCAAATCCCCAGCTGCTGCCCTCACCACCCATGGCATGGATCCTCAAGGATGGTTTCAGCTGTACAGATTCTCCCTGCTCCCTGCCATGACTGTTCTTTACCTTCAGATTGGCTGTAGCTTCACTCTGCTCTTTGGCTCAGAAAGGGACCAAGGCCACCACCTGCAGCAGACTCGGGACCTTCCTGATATCAGCCTCCATACTGGTGAGCGGGGTAGCCGCGTTGTGGAAATCCAGGGATTTTTCTCCCCCGCATGACCTCCACCTACAGGGAGTGGGAGGGAAGGAGGAGAGAAGGATGTGGTGTGAGTCAGAAACAGTTCTCTTATGTACTGGACTCTGAATGGGGCTGAGTCTGGGAACCACGGGAGCAAGCATGGTCATCAGTAGAGCTGTTACGTTTCCCACCCGTCTCCTTCCTGCACACAGTGCAGCTGCACTTCTCCCGCCCTGCTGAAGTTAGGCATTCCTACATGGCTTATTTTAGCAGGTGAAATGTGAGTGGAGGGGTCCTGTTCTTCGGGGCAGACGTGTTCAGAGCTGGTGTATAGTTTACCCTTTGCTCTTCCCACTGCTGTGGTGATCCTGGACTTGTATGTGGGAATGAAGCTTCCCTGTCCCTGAGTCCCTGAGTTCGTGCAATGAGTAGGGCCCCTGGCCAGCATGTGCTAGACAGCCATTAGGAGCCAGAAACGTACTTGGGTTGTGTGAAGCCGCTAGCATCTGAGGGTCGTAAGCTATAGCATAGCCTGATTCATACAAAGTGTCAGCCGTGATAGGATGCTTGACCTGCAGGTTATAAATGTAATTGTTATGTTTTCTTTGTGTGCTTTGCATTAGTATCAAGGGCTGTGTGTGTGTGTGTCTGTGTGTGTGTGTGTGTGTCTGTACTTCTCTGCTGAGAAGGAACGCTATGAAGAGATCTTTCCAATGTTTGGCCAATTTTTTTCCTAAACTCTTTGTTAGAATAAAACATACATACAAAGTGGACATAAATCATAGGGATACAGGGGTTTTTAAAAACTGAGCACACACTGTAGCCAGCACCAGCAGGCTCCCCATGCACCCTCCCAGCCATTAAATCTGCCCCCCAAGAAGTAACCAGTATCCTTATTTCTAACATCACAGATTGATTTGCCTGTTTCTGAACTTTCTATAAGAGGAATCACAAAGTATGGATGATTTCATGTCTACCTTCTTTTGTTCAACAGTGATTGTGAGATACGCCCAGGTTACTGTGTGTAGCAGTCATTAATTCATGGTAATTGCTGAATAGTATTTCAGTGTATGAGTATACCACATGGTCTTACTCATTCTGCATTTGAGTTGTTTCTAAATTTTTGTCTATGATGAATGCTGCTGCTATAAACGTGTTCTGTTAAGCATATATGTGATGAGTACATGTCTAGGAGTGGAATTGCTGGGTCATAGGATTTGCATATGTTCAGCACAGATGCTGCAGAATGGTTTTCTGAAGTGGTTGAACCAATTTACATCCCCACCAGCACTTGAACTCTGCCATTCCCCCAACTATTTTTTCTCTTTGTAACTCTTTCCCTTCCCCAAGTCATTCCTAATGATGATGATAATATTGACAACCATTAACTGTCTAGTCTTTAACTGAAAGGGGCTGGGTGTTATAATTTGCACTTAAAAGGTGTTAATCAGTCCCAAAGAAAAAATTTTGAGACCGATATTGTTATTACCATCATATTGAGAAGAAAATCTGAAACTCAAAAGACTAAGTATTAACCTATGCAGGAGTCACAGAGCTATTAAGTTTAGAGGCAGGACTGGGACACAGCCTGACTCCAAAGCATATACTCCTCCAAGGAAAACCCTCCTGCTCCTCTGCCCCATGTTTGACTTAAACTTGGCCTATGCCCACAGATATGCATTTATGATCAACCATGTGGATGCCTGAGCTTGGTGTGGGGGCGCTTCAGCCCCTCAGTCTGTGTTATCCTGATCCAAAAATGTGCATGGTACTCAACAGACTTTTTAAATAAAGATTTACTAGTCAAGCTGTTACTTCGCCCCTCCCCCTTCCTTATTATCCCTGCTCATCAAGCATGATAGTCAATTTGAGAATGTGAAGAACTCTTGGGTAAAAACTTTGCTTTGTTGCTGGGAAAATATGTCTAAACATCAGATTTCCATATGTCATTCACTCAAAACATATACTGCTTCTACTGACTTCACTCCAGGTTGAAAATGTTAGTGTATATTGTAAGATGTCATGGAGGGAGAATTCGAGTTACAAATAAAGCTTCAAGAGGATTAGTCATCATAAAACAAACAGAAAAAAAAGGAAGGAAGGGAGAGGGAGGGGAGGAAGAAGGGAGAGGCCGGGCATGGTGGCTCACGCCTATAATCCCAGCACTTTGGGAGGCCAAGGCGGGTGGATCACGAGGTCAAGAGATCGCGACCATCCTGGTCAACATGGTGAAACCCCGTCTCTACTAAAAATACAAAAAATTAGCTGGGCACGGTGGCGCATGCCTGTAATCCCAGCTACTCAGGAGGCTGAGGCAGGAGAATTGCTTGAACCCAGGAGGCGGAGGTTGTGGTGAGCCGAGATCGCGCCATTGCACCCCAGCCTGGGTAACAAGAGCGAAACTCCGTCTCAAAAAAAAGAAAAAGGGAGAAAAGATATCCTTAAGGCTTGCAGCAACAATAAAAAAGGTAACCATGTGAGATGATGGGTATGGTACATTGCTTGACTGTAGTAACCATTCCGCTGTGTATATGTGCATCAGTACATGTTCGCCTTAAATACACACAATAAAAAATGAATATGTGCGTTTTCTAAAAGGCTTGCTGGGCCCCCAGGGCACCTCAGGATGCTGCAGGACATTCACAGCAGCACCCTGGGATACTTTAAATTGTTGAAGGAAACAGCAACATCTGTCAGATACCAGGCCAACTACTAGCTCAAAATCGTTCAGTTTTCAACATTCGATTTCACAGTTTTTTTGATGACACCATGAAACTGGATTTTCAGCAACTGCTTTGCTAAAAAGCAAGTATCAAGTGAAAATCAACGTGGATCACAGTCGAAGGTTTGAGAAGTGCTGCCGTTCCCAACAGGTGCACAGCTGCCCTTCATAACTAACATCAGTATGAAATAAAATAGTAATATTTTTCTTTAAGTTATAGGTATTATTTTTTTCAAACAGTTCTTATAAGATAGTAAGATATAAATGCTTCTCCATTTGTTAGAAGGACCTAAACAGAAAGGTGAGCTGTTTCTTTTGGCCTAGGGGCACCATGAATCAAAATTAAGTTTGAAGACCTCTGCCCTATGATACAACCTAATTTCAAAGACCCATGTCAAATTTATAATCTGGGGTCCTACTCCCTTCTCAAGACGTTTCCCCCTTACTTTACAGTTAGATTATCCACAGCACGTGTTTGATGAACTTACAGTCGGCTGGCCACTGAGTTTGCTTTGTATGAGGTTGAGACTGTAAAGGGGTTAACCATCAGAATCACCTGGAGTCAAATTTGTTTCCATACAAATTCAACACAGAAAATACAAGGAAAGAGCATGAGATGTTGACATCATCAAAACTTTGGTTTAAATTCCAGCCAGCCACTTTTAAAAAGACCCACATCTGTAAAATAGGAACACGATTCCATTGCGGGTCCTGAAAGATAAGTGAAATCATGCATAATATAAACACTGTATTCTTGGCCTGGCGCAGTGGCTGACACCTGTAATCCCAACACTTTGAGAGGCCAAGGCGGACGGATCACAAGGTCAGGAGTTTGGTACCAGCCTGACCAACATGATTAAATCCCGCTTCTACTAAAAATACAAAAAATTAGCTGGGCACAGTGGCAGGTGCCTATAATCCCAGCTACTCAGAAGGCTGAGGCAGGAGAATCACTTGAACCCAGGAGGCAGAGGTTGCACTGAGCTGACATCATACCACTGCACTGTCCGGCTTGGGCGACAGGGCAAGACTTCAGACTCCATCTTAAAACACACACACACAAATGATATTCTTGACACATCATTTCCTCCTATTTTATGATTACTATAGCCACTTAAAGGTGAAAATACCTTTATACCTTTATAAAGTTAGGTGTTTTAAATTCTATAATCAATACATGACCACCGAAAAGATTTACATGTGGAATAAAAAGATTCTTGAGAGACTAGAGTCTGATGCTAAGAAATGCAACAAAGAAAAATTCAAAGGAAATGAATTGCAGCTGCATTTGAGGAGATCAAATTAATGAACAGCGTGGAGCGCAGATTTCTGTGGCCAATCTAAGACCAAGGAGATTTTCCATGGCCAAAGATGAAAAGAGCGACCAGATTAACAGGGAGGCCTAGAAGCCATGCCCTCCCCCATCCTGCTTTGAGAGTAAAAGGAAAGGCAGACACTATTATTCCGCATTAGTTTTCTGTCAATTATTTTCTCCCAGTACTGTTTCCTAGAGTTCTACAGCCAAAATATCTCAATGGTGTAGAAGCTGAAGCAAAGGATTTCATTGGTGTCTCGTGATCTTCCTAGTTAATGGGTATCTGAATGCATTTATGAGTACTAATGAGGCAAGTTCGCAGAGGAAGAAAAGGGCTAGAGGAGAACAACCTTGGGTCAAGGTCAGGGAAAACTTGGAGTTCAGACAAACCTAAAGAAGTAGGAATTTTAACTCCTAGGTTTATCTAATCTGCTTCCAGTATGCTGAATTAATCACGAAACAATAGCAGTTATACCAGACTGACTGCAAGGCCCAGTGCCTGCTTTCACCGCTGCTGTTCACATTGTACAACGAGTTCTAGTGAAACGATTAACAAAAAGCAGTAAAGGGCATGAAATTGGAAAGGAAGAGGTAACGCCATCTCCATTTGCAGATTACATGCTCACATGTATATAGCATCCCAAAGACACCACAAGAAAGCTACTAAAGCTAATAAATGAATTCAGCAAAGTTGTAGATGATAAGACCAATGCAAAAAAAAATTCAGTTGTTTTTTTACACCAGCAATGAACAAAAATGAGAAAGCAGTTCCATCTTTAATAGCAGCTAAACAAATTCAGTACTTAGGAATACATCTAACCAAGGCGGTAAAAAAAATGTGTATGCTGGAAACTAAAAACCACTGCTGAAATAAATGTATAAATATCTGAAAAATGGAAAGGTATCCTATTTCACTAATTGGAAGACTTAGCATTAAGATGTTAATACTACCCAAAGTGAGCTAGATTCAACACAATCTCTATCAAAATTCTAATAGCCTGTTTTACCAAAATGGAAAAACCAATCCTCAAACGCATGTAAAATTACAGAGGACTCCAAATAGCTAAAACAATCTTTAAAAAGTAGAATAAAACTGGAGGACTCATGTTTTTCAACTTCAAAACTTCCAACAAAGCTACATTAACTAAAACTAACACTGGCATAAGGACAGACACATAGAACAATGGAATAGAGCAGAAAGCCCAGAAATAAATTCTCAGATACATAATCAATTAATTTTCAACAAGGGTGCCAAGACCATTAAATAGAGAAAGGGCAGTCTTTTCAACAGAGGTTGTGGGGGAAACAATATCCATTTGCAAAAGGATAAAGTTGGACTTGACCTTATGCCGTGTACAAAAATTACTTCAAAATGGATCAGATACTTAAACTTGAGTTAAAATTATAAAACGCATAGAAGAAAACATTGGAGAAAATCTTCATGACATTGGATTTGGCATGGTGTCATAAATGTGACACTAAAAGTTCAGGCAACAAACAAATGGACTCCATCAAAATTAGTAACTTTTGTGTATCAAAGAACACTATCAAGAAGGCAAAAGACAACCTACAGAATGGGAGAAAATGTTTACAAATCATGTATCTGACAAGGAATTAACATCCAAAAGAATTCCTTTAACAACAACGACTACAACAAAATCACAAACACCCTAATTCAAAAATAAGTAAAGGATTTGAATAGACATTTTTCCAAAGAAGATACACAAATGGCTAATACACACATAAAAAGATGCTCATCATTAGTCACTGGGGAATTGCACATTAAAATTATGAGATGCTATCTCACACATTAGGATGGCTGCTAGAAAAAAAAAATGGTAACTGTTTAAGTTGTTTGAGAACTCTCCAAACTGCTTTCCACAATGGCTGAACTAATTTACATTCCCACCAAAAGAGTATCAATTTTCCTTATGTTCTTTGCAGCCTTGCCAGCATCTGTTGTTTTTTTTGACTTTTTAATAATACCCATTCTGACTGGTATTAGATGATATCTCACTGTGGTTGTGATTTGCATTTCTCTGACTGTGATAATGAGAATTTTTTCATATTTATTGGCATCTCTCATGTCTTTGAGAAGTGTCTATTCCTGTACTTTCCCCATTTTTTAACAGTTTTTTATTTTTGTCTGTTAAGTTTCGTATAGATTCTGAATATTAGACCTTTGTCAGAATATAGTTTGCAGATATTTTTCTCCAACTCTGAGGGTTGTCTGTTTAACCTGCTGATAGTTTTTTTTGCTGTGCAGAAGCTCTTTAGTTTAATTAGGTCTTGCTTGTCAATTGTTATTTTTGTTGCAGTTGCTTTTGAGGACTTAGCTACAAATTCTTTGTCAAGTCCAATGTGAAGAAAAGTATTTCCTAGGTTTTCTTCTAGGCTTTCTATAGTTTGAGTCTTACATTTAAATGTTTAGTCTATCTTGAGTTAATTTTTGTATATGACGAAAGAGAGGGATCCAGTTTCATTCTTCTGCATACAGCTAGCCAGGTATCTCAGCCCCATTTCTTAAAAAGAGAATCCCTGTCCCCATGTTTGTTTTTGTCTGTTTTGTCAAAACTCAGATGGTTGTAAGCCTGTGGCTTTATTCCTGAGTTCTCTCTTCTGTTCCATTGGTCTATGTGTCTATTTTTGAACTAGTAACATGTTTTTTGGTTACTGTAGCCTGACAGTATAATTTGTAGTCAGGTAGTGTGATGCCTCCAGCTTTGTTCTTTTCATGTCGGATTGCTTTCGCTATTTGGGCTCCTTTTTGTTTTCATATGAATTTGGGTGTATACCCAGAGGAAAATAAATCATTCTACCAAAAAGACACATACACCTGCCTGTTCATCACCACACTACTCACAATAGCAAAGACATGAAATCAACCTAGGTGCATATCAATGATGAATTCGATAAACAGCATATGGTACATATACAACATGGAATACTACACAGCCATAAAAACAAACAAAATCATATCCTTTGCAGCAACATAGATTGCAGCTGTGAGCCACAATCCTAAAGGAATTAATGCAGGAACAGAAAACTAAATACCACATGTTCTCACTTGTAAGGGGGAGGTAAACATTGAGCACACACGGACATAAACATGAAAAGAATAGATACTTCACACTACTTGGGGGAAGGGAGAAAACGGTCATGAGTTTAAAAACTTCCTACTGGGTACTAGGGCTCACTACCTGGGTGACAGGATCCATCCCCTAAGCCTCAGCATTGCGCAACATACCCATGTCACAACTGGCAGACAGGATCCATCCCCTAAGCCTCAGCATCATGCAATCTACCCATGTCACAATTGGCAGACAGGATCCATACCCCTAAGCCTCAGCATTGTGCAATACACCCATGTCAAAACAGGCAGGCAGGATCAATCCCCTAAGCCTCAGCATCGTGCAATGTATCCAAGTCACAAGTGGGAGGCAGGATCCATCCACTAAGCCTCAGCATCGTGCAATATACCCAAGTCACAACTGACCGGCAGGATTCATCCCATAAGCCTCAGCATCGTGCAGTATACCCATGTCAC